ATCGAGTGAGACTCCGACTCAAAAAAAAAAAAAAAAATTGGTTATTCATATATCTTCTTTTGTAAAATGTCAATTCAAGCTTTTTGCCAGTTTTTGTTGGGTTGTCAGTATATTATTGATTTGAAGTTCTTTATAAATTCTGGATATAAATACTTTAAAGGAGATACACACACACACACACACACACACACACTCTTTAGATATTTTCTCCCAATCTGTCTGTGGCTTGTTTTTTCATTTTCTTAATATTGTCTTTATTATAATGGTTTGCCGTTTGACTTTTTTTGAAAACAAATTAAGTACTAATGTTTTAACATTTTTAAAAAAATGAGGTTCTTGGCCAGGTTATGGTGGCTCATGCCTGTAATCCCAGCACTTTGGGAGGTGGAGGTGAGATGACTGCCTGAGCCCACAGGTTTGAGACCAGCCTGGGCAATTTAGTGAGACTGCGTCTCTACAATAATTAAAAAAATTAGCCAGGCACATGGCTGTGGTTCCAACTACTTGGAAGGCTAAGGTGGAAGGATCACCTGAGCCCAGCAGATTGAGGTTGCAGTAGCCATGAACATGCCATTGCACTCCAGCCTGAGTGACAGAGTGAGACTAAAATAATAAAAATTAAAATAAAATAATAAAAATTAAAATGAGGTTCTTATATAGAGCCTTGGTGATAAGTATATAGGTAAATACCATTACAATTCTTTCAACTTTTCTGTGGGCCTGAAATTTTTCATAATAAAATGTTGGGAGGAAAAAGATTCTTTGAGTGATGTGACTATGTTGTTCATCTAGTTCCCTTAGCAAATCAAATACTTACCAGGTACCAACAACAACAAAAAAAGTTCTTAAAAATCTCAACTTGGTCAGGGAAGAGGGGGGTGGGAGTGGCAGTTGAGGGAAACTGCTAGGGGAGGGAGGGGCACACCTCATTGACAAGGGTACCTGCATAATTAAAATTTGTATACTTAACCCTGAATCGTACCCCACATCTTTATAATAAAAAAAAACTCAACTTGACCAGATATGAAACAATTTAAAAACCTTAAAAAGTATATTGAGAAAAGCCAGGCTTTTTACAAACATTTGTAATTACCAAAAAAACCACAAAAAACCAAACCAGATGCTAAATAGATAATACAAATAATTCCAGCTATCTGGTCAACAGGCAAAAAATAACAACACAACAACAGCCAAACACTTAGGTCTTCAGTCCTAATCTTTGTTCATTTTGCTGGGATTTCCTATTCAGTTCCTCTTGTCAGGTGACTATACCAGATAACAGCAGAGAGATGGTGAGCCTGCCCCATCAGCCTGCTCTGCTTGGCCTCCGGAGTGGAGGACTTTTCAGCTAAGGGATCTGTTACTTTTCTCACCCACTTTGGGGTTTTCTGCATCTGTAACTGAAGTTGCAGTTGCTGACCTTGGGTCTCACTGCCTTGACATTCCTTCTCTTCATTGCTGACATCTCCAAGCTGTGTCTGGCTAGGAGAGCCCCATGGGAATCGTGGTCTAGGACCCCATACACATTCTGTGTTATTGGTCCACCTTGCTCTCCTGCGCCCTGGTTGTTGGTCCTTCCATCACTTCTCCCTGCACAGGAGGTTTGAATATCATGGGTGCCCCGAGTCCCTGCATGCTGAGAATGGTTGCACATGCTGGGCCAGTGCGTGGAACCCAGCCTGCAGGAGCACCCTCCAAATCTCGGTCCTTTCTCTCACCATTCTGACAATTCTGCTAGCAAGTGCATGGAGGGCTGGCTTTATGATGGGAACAGAGTTCCTAACGGTTAGTCGGCTGTACATCTACTGCCTGGCATCAGAATGACAGGAAGCCCTGTAGCATTTGCTGCCTCTGCACCCTTCAACAACATCAAACTCCATCTCCCACACCCTCAGGCACTTCCTGGGGCTATTCATCTATGACCAAATACATATCCTTGGCGTCCTTCCTGTTGATGAAACCTTACCCATTCCTTGCATTGAATCTTTTGTTCCCTACTCTACACTATACCACCCTGAATGTGCCTGATTTCATCTGAATTATTTGTTCCCTAAACCTTTGTCTCCATGACCTTCTTTTTCCAGGTGACCGATATGTGGCCACTCAGGCCACCACTGCCTGTGGTGGTGTGGGCAGTGTTTAGGGTGAGAACTGCTGGGTCTCAGTCACAATCTTTGCTCAGGGTTGCGGCAATGGTAATTGGGGCCAGCTACAACAGCTGTGGCTCTTCCTGGGGTGTGACTGTCACTAGGCCAGGTGGCAGTGGGACTGCTCAGGCTCCTGCTCCAAACAGACTGAACTCTAGTACTCCAATAGCATCTTTTGGTAAGCAGAAGTTTATTAGAGGTATAATGGTGTAATAAACTGCTTTTTTTTAGAGACAAAGTTTCACTCTGTTGCCCAGGCTGGAGTACAGTGCCATAATCACAGCACACTGCAGCCTCAAACTCCTAGGCTGAAGCAATCTTCCCACCTCAGCTTCCCAAGGAGCTGGGACTACAGGTGCATGCCACCCCTGGCTAATTTTTAAATTTTATTTTATAGAGCCAGGGTCTTGCTATATTTCTCAGGCTGGTCTCAAACTCCTGGTCTCAAGGAATCCTCCTGCCTTGGCCTTCCAAAGTGCTGGGATTACAGGTGAGAGCCACCATCCCTGGCCAAACTGCATGTTTGAAGTATACAATTTGATACATTTTGACACATGTATACCCCTTGAAGCCATCATCACAAATAAAACAGTGAACATATCCATCACCTCCAAATGTTGTACTGTTCCAAGTAACAACAGATCTGTTTTCTGTCACTATATATGTTTGCATTTTCTAGAATTTTATAAAAATTAAATCATATAGTATACATTCTTTTTATCCCCCCAAGTCGGGGTCTCACTCTGTTGCCCAGGCTGGAGTACAGTGGCATGATCATGGCTCACCACAGCCTCAAACTCCTGGGATGAAGCAGTCTCCTGAGTAACTGGGACTACCAAACATGCACCACCAAGCCTAGCTAATTTTTGAATTTTTTGTAGAGACAAGGTCTTGCTCTGCTGCCTAGGTTCATCTCAAACTCCTGGGTTCAAGTAATCTTCACACCTTGGCCTCTCAAAAGTGCTAGATTATGAAAGGAAGCCACCACGCCCGGCTGGATTATTTTCACTTGACTTCTTTTACTCAGCATAATAAGTCTGAGATTTGTACATGTTGTTATACACATTAATAGTTAACTCCTTCTTCTTGATGAAGAAGTATTCCATTGTATCCCACCTGTTGATAGACATTTGGGTAGTTTCTTGTTTTTTGTTATTACAAATAAAACTGCTACAAACATTCATGTACAAGTCAATGCTTTCGTTTAGTTTCTCCTGGGTAAATACCTAGGAATGGAATGGCTGGATCACATGGTACATGTATATTTAACTTTTTAAGAAACTTCCCAAGTGTTCCATTATATTTTACTACCAGCAGTGTATGAAAGCTCCAGTTGTTACATATTTTTGCCAACACTTGGTAGGGTTCTTTAATCTGAGGCATTCTGATACACATGCAATGGTATCTTTTTGTGATTTTAGTGATGGTATCTCATAATAATGTTAAGCATCCTTTAGTTAATTAATTAATTAATTATTTTTTTGAGTTGGAGTCTCACTCTATCACCCAGACTGGAGTGCAGTGGCACGCTCCTGGCCACCGCAGCCTCGACCTGCTGGGCTCCGGCGATCCTTCCGCCTCAGCCTTCCAAGTAGCCGGAACTATAGGCGCGCACTACCATGCCCGGCTAGTTTTTGATTTATTGTAGAGATGAGGTCTCGCCAAGTTGCCCGGGCGGGTCTCGAACCCACGGGCTCAGGCAATCCACTCACCTCTAATTATTTATTTTTTAAAATCAGGGGACTCACTTTGTCACCTAGGCTGGAATGCAGTGGTACGATCATGGCTCACTGCAGCCTCGAACTCCTGAACTCAAGCAATCCTCCTGCCTCAGCATCCCAAAGTGCTGGGATTACAGGCATGAACTGCCACGTCTGGCCTGAGAGTTCTTTATATATGCTGGATGCAGGTCATTTATCATATATGTGATTTGCAACAATTTATCCCAGTCTATAGCCTGTCTTTTCATTCTTTTAACAACATCTTTTGCAGAGTAGAAGTTTTAAGTTTTGATAAAGCCAAATTTATCAATCTTTTCTTTTATATCTCATGCTTTTGGTGCTATGGCTAAAAAGTCTTTGCCTAACCCAAGATCACAAAGACTTTCTCCTATGTTTTCTTCTGGAAGTTTTATACTTTAAGACTTTACATATAGATATATGATCCATTTCAAGTTGTTGTTGTTATTATTATTATTACTATTATTATTTGAGTTGGAGTCTCACTTTGTTGCTCAGGCTGGAGTGCAGTGGCATGCTCATGGTTACCACAGCCTCAACATTTGCTGGGCTCAGGGGATCTTTCCTTCTCAGCCTTCCAAGAAGCTGGAACCACAGTCAGCTAATTTTTTTATTTATTGTAGAGATAAGGTCTCACCAAGTTGCCCAGCTAGTCTCAAATCCCTAGGCTCAGGCAATGTTCTCACCTCTGCCTCCCAAAATGCTAGGATTATAGGCATCAGCCACCACACTTGACCTTTTTTGTTAATTTTTGTATGTAGTATGGGAAATTAGAAGTTTTAAATTTCAGTGTAATATCAATATTTTCTTTTATGGTTAGTACTTTTCACATCCTAAGAAATATTTGCCTGTCCCAAGGTGGCACAAATATTTTTCTGGGATTTTTTTCAAGAAGAAAGATTTTTAGAAGAAAAAAATAAATTTTTATATATGGTATGAAGTGGAGTTTAGCTTCATTTTTTCTACATTTGTTTATCCAGCGTTTCAACATCATTTGTTGAAAATACTTTCTTTTCCCCACAGAATTGCCTACAACAGTACTGGGACCATCAACTGGTGCCTATCAATGGTATTTCTAAGAAGACAAATTACAGTTAAGAATCCATTCTGAGCCAGGCTCGGTAGCTCAGCCTGTAATCCCGCGCCTTTGGGAGGCTGAGGTGAGTGGATTGTCTGAGCCTGCGAGTTCGAGACCCACCTGGGCAGCGAGACCTCATCTCTACAAAAAATCAGCCGGGTGTGGTAGCGCATGCCTGTAATTCCGGCTACTCGGAAGGCTGAGGAGGAAGGATCGCCAGAGTCCAGCAGGTCGAGGCTGCGGTGGTCGGAAGCGGCCACTGCACTCCAGTCTGGGCGACAGAGTGAGACTCCAACTCAAAAAAAAAACAAAACAAAAATCCATTCTGAGCACCTCCCTTTTGAGGATTCATCGATTCAGAAAACACTTTCTGAGAGCTAACAGCATTCCAGACAATGAGCTGGGAAAAAAGGACTCAAAGGTGAGTAAGACAGTTCCCCTGCCCTCAGGAGAAGAAGCAGTCATATAAACTAATCAGGGTATAGGTGCAGAAGATGCTCTGATTGAGATTGTGTTCTGTACAATGGCAGCACACAGCAGGGAGAGATCAGCTCCTCTTGGGTATATCAGGGCAAATACCTTAAAGGGTAAGATATTTGAGCTGATCTTGTAGAAGAGGAGGAATTTAACAACAAGCATGGTAGGTAGGGAAACAAGAAAAGCATTCCAAGCAGAGGGAACAGCATGGATAAGGGAACGGGAATGTAAAACAGCCTAGAAAAGTCGGACTTTTAGACATGTTGGTATGATGCTCAAAAGAAAAATCCAGACTACAGTTTCTTAGTAATTTTCTTCTGACAACAGGGCAGATAAATCCAAGGCAATCAGCATGTTCCCTCTGGTGGCAGGGGATCTTGTAACTGGATATTTTAGAGGAAGCTCACTGGCCAGGGAGGTCTCTATTTCTTTCTAACCTAGGACAACTATCATTGCCTCCATATTGAAAGCAAACTTAATTTGCTATAGCTTTTGGCCCAGCTAAGGTGAAAGAACAGGAACTTACCACTTCATTGATGGCTTTGATTAGGAAAAGACCATCCTTATAAAAATAAAACAGTCTAATGATACCTGAAACAGAAAAATAAGTGAGAACGTAAGACAAGTGAACCAAGGAAGAACTGGAATCTTATATTTACTTTATGAACTCATTACTATAATAAGCTCATGCATTTTTAGCCTCCTTCCAGATCCCTCCACCGCCTGAGCTGTTCCTGGTCTCCCTGCCTTCCTCCATGCCTCACTTGGAGTGACCAGGCTGTTTCCTTCCTTAGGTCTTCTCCACCTACCCTGGCCCTACCTGCTTCTCCTAGAAGTTTTCCGTAAGCACATCAGTTACATCAAGGATAGGCCTTGATTCCTATCTACTTGTTTTAACACATCATCTCCTACTGCTCCACACTGTTACCAGCTGTTTTCTGTGAGTGTCTTGTATTCCTCTTGAGAGTTCGTGGATTATTTTCAGGAAAGGACTCTATCCCAACAAGCTCTTGATGCAGGTGATTTTGATGAATTAATAAGTGATTCTGTCAACCTACTTCCCGTTTAACCAACCATCACTCACCATGACTTTTTACCTCTTTCTTTAGGTGCCTCCCAGATACTCATAACCTGCCTGCACCCTAACATAGACCTCGCACAGGCATCTGACCCACTGTAGTTGAAAGCTTAGCTCAACCCAATAACAATTCACAGGATATCTGCTCCATGCCAACAAATGTGTTAGGGACACCAAGGCAGTCTGCCCTCTAATTCATCATATCAAGGGTTACATAGACACGAAACCAATTAGTATAATGCAGCATATAAATATGATCCTATCTTTAGACCAAATTTCTGAATATCAACATTCCCACATAGATATCTGCCGGGTGCCTCATATCTGTGCATGTTCAAATGGAACTCTTCAACTTACAGACCCCTAAAATCTTATTCTCCTATTATTGCTATCAAGAAAATGGCATCATCATCCACCCAGCTATCTAAGGCACAAAGGAGGAATTTTTCTTCACCGCCTCCAGCATACCTTCCTACTCTCTCACCCATATACACGTTCCATTTCACTAAATTTTTCCATTATATATTGCTTTTCATTTTTTAAGCTTTTTACTTTGAACTAATTTTATATTTATTAAAAATTTGCAAAAATAGCACAAAACATTCCCTTACATCTCTATCTCACTTTCCCTAATGCTAACATCTTACATAACTATAGTACAATTTTTCTTTTCATTTTTAACAGCCCTGCCTTGGTTCAGACCTTCAGAATTCTTCTCTTCAATGCGGACAGTAGTCTCTCTGCCTCTCATTTTGATTTTTTCAAGCTCCTGCCAGGGTGCCCTTCCTAAAATGCCAGTCTGGGTAGGTCATGCTCCGGTAGAAAGTTCTTCAGTATGCCTATGTTGGCTGAGCAGAGCCTGCTATTTAAAGAGATGCATTATTTCATAGATGCTCTCAAGGTGAGCAGCCACTTTCTGCGCTGCTTGCCCCAACAGCACAGGGCCACCTTCCTGACTTCCTGGCCAATGCTGACACTTGTCCCTAGTTCCCCATGAAGTAGACAAGCACCTCATATTGAGAGGTAGCAGGATGGGTTACCAGGCACAAAAACAGGCTAGAGGGAGTCTAGATTTGGGAGAGAACCAAGAGCAATGGCTCAGCTATCTAGGGCACTGTCTACAGTTTTCTATACCTTACTCCCCATGAAGGCCTGGCTCATCCTCAAGATAGGGTAAAAGGTCAACTCTGGCTCATATGAGCAGCAGGACTCCTGAGTGCTGGAAGGGTAGGGACTCTGGGGCCATCCTGCCTGGCTTGAAGCTTGCCTGTGCCATGGACTTTCCACGTTACCTCAAATGAGTTATTTAATCTCTGTGCCTCAGTTGTTTCTTCTGAACAGGAATAATACATTTTATTCCCCCCACCCCCACCCCAGGGCTGTTGTGAGGATTAAATGGGCTACCATGTGAAAGGTTAGAATAGTGCCAGGCATACTCTACTTTTCTGTGTATGTTAGTTACTATTTCATGACCAGAGACCACACCCACACCTGGAAGATAGTACAAAAACATTCCTTACATTCCTATCTCATTTCCCCTAATGCTGAACAACAGTCGATAGGTGCCTGTAAATTAGGCTAAAAAGGAAGATGAAGAAAAATACCCATTTCATCCACAGGAGCAATAAGTATTTCACTCCCCAAATCTGTGGCCCAGATGGAAGTGACATCAACCTTAAGTTTCTCCCAAACACATATTTGTTTAGCAGTGTCCAGATTATAAATTGAGAATCCTTTGGTTCCTCCAATAAATAAATAGTCTTGGGAAATAGCCATACAATTTAGTGGTTTGTTGAGCTGGGAAGACAAAAACAAAGATAAAATAAATTATTTACAGTTACCGCTGTCTTCAAGTAATAGAAGCTAACTTTTCAAAGTGAGTCACAGGCCCTTCCTAGACATACCATTCCCAAACATAATACTCATCTAAAACTCTTGCCCAAGCATCAAGAAATTCATAGTATTCCATTTTTAGAGGAAGGAGGCCAGAGAAAAAAAGGAAGTTGAGAATAAATGCACATTCACAGCGCTAAGCATGACCAAAGGACCCAGACTGTATTTATCTGGCACAAACTGTAGAAGAACAATAGCTGAGGCACTGGCAAGTCCATCAAGTGGACTAATAGATTAAGGAGGATTTTCAACAATAGCTGAATACAAAAGGGCTTCTGTATAATCTTCCATTAATCAGAACACCCAATTTCTCCAGGCAATTACCAGATCCATTTTAATCATCATCAGCATGCCTCTAATCTTTCTTTCTTTCTTTTTGAGTTAGACTCTCACTCTGTGGTACAACCACAGATCACTGCAGCCTTGACCTCCTGGACTCAGGTAATCCTTTTGCCTTAGCCTCCTGAGTAGCTGGGACTACAGGTGTGCACCACTATGCCTGGCTACTTTTTTTATTTTTGTAGAGATGAGGTCACTCTGTGTTGCCTAGGCTGGTCTCAAACTCTTCAGCTCAAGCAATACTGTCACCTCAGCCTTCTTAAGTGCTGGGATTACAGGCATGAGCCACCACACCTGGTAGCCTGCCTATAATCTTTCTTTCTTTTCTTTTTTTTTGTTTGTTTTGTTTTGTTTTTTGAGTTGGAGTCTCACTCTGTCACCCAGACTGGAGTGCAGTGGCTGCTCCCAGCCACCGCAGCCTCGACCTGCTGGGCTCCGGCGATCCTTCCGCCTCAGCCTTCCAAGTAGCTGGAACTACAGGCGCGTGCTACCATGCCTGGCTCATTTTGATTTATTGTAGAGATGAGGTCTTGCCAAGTTGCCCAGGCAGGTCTCAAACCCGCGGGCTCAGGCAATCCACTCACCTCAGCCTCCCAAAAGCGCGGGATTACAGGCTGAGCCACTGAGCCCGGCTATAATCTTTCAAAAATGCACCTGTCTTATTGAATGCAGGTTTCTGGATCAGGGGTTTTCATTTAACAACACTCAACTGAGAAACAGGGACTCCTAGTCAGTTGCCTACTCCATACCTGGATTTTTCCAAGTGGAGGGTAGACAGGGGGCTGGATCCGCCTGCCCTCACCTTCCCTCCGTGCATTCCTCTCTTCAATGACTCCCCATGCCCGGTCCAACAGGAGGTCCACCAGCTTGTTGATCATTCGATAAGGCTGAGGCAGGGAATCCACCTCCTGGCTTGGATCCATGACAATATGGTCCTCTTCATCATCTTTAGGCCAGTCTATCTCTGTTGGGGGTGGCACCTTTAGTGGTCCCTTTGGAGTATAAATGGGCAGCCTCATCTTCTGAGCATAACTTCCTCTGGGGGATGACATCACAGAAGGTGGCACTGGGAACTGCTAAAACTCTGGAAAGTTGACAAGAGAAGCAAAGGAACTCTGAGAAAAAAAGGGAAGCCACAGGAAGATAGCATACCATACTTCTCTAGCATAATAGCCTATGGGGACTATTTATTCAAGATTGGCACTTTTGGTAATCATCAGGGGATTTTTGCCATATTCCCAGGCTAAGTTCTTCATATCAGTAAGGATACCAGGAGAGGTAGGTATCCTCCAGGCCAACCCAAGATGAAGCTATGACGGAAGGAGAGGAATCTGGCATCCTTGTTGCCTTTCTTCACCTCCTGATAAGAGAGTGGTTTTCTTTCTGTCTCAAATGAAATTCACCCTCTCTCCTATTATTGATGCCTTCTTGTTCTCCATCTCTGCAAATGGCTGTGCTCAAGCCAGCTGGGCAGTGAGCCATGACTCTCTTCTCTCGCCCCAGTCCATGCAGTATAAGCACTCCAATCCTGCTGTCAGATTCATTCCCTTCCCTCCCTTTCCACTGCTGCCATAGTTATGAAGGCATAGTGCACAGTACCTAGGAGATTTTTCATTTAAAAAAAAAGACCCACAAAATCAAAATAAATATTTACAGAAATATGTACAATGTATCAGCTACACTCTATGTATATGTGTATAAAGATCATGTCTATAGGAAGTTTTCTGTTCTTCAAAAAACTCAAAATTGTGCAAATTATAAAAAGACTTATGGTTTTAAAAAGTATCTAGGCTGGGCTCGATGGCTCAGCCTGTAATCCCAGCACTCTGGGAGCCCGAGACAACTTGGCGTGACTGTGTCTCTACAATAAATCAAAAATTAGCCAGGCATGGTAGCACGCACCTGTAGTTCCAGCTACGTGGAAGGCTGAGGCTGAAGGATTGCTGGAGCCCAGCAGGTCGATGCTGGGGTGGCTGTGAGTGTGCCACTGCACTTCAGCCTGGGTGACAGAGTGAGATTCCAACTCAAAAAAAAGTATCTAATGAGGAACATGGGATAAGCATGTTAAGATGCCTCATGTAGAGTGGAGTAGGGTCTTGAACTGTGAGAGTGCTGAGGGTCTGTGAATCTTATTTTTTTATGGCTTAAGTTTATTTATTGCTCACATAATGTTCATTGTGGGTCCAGGCAGCCATCTACCATGTGGTGACTCAGGGACCCATGACATTTTGTTCTCTGTTCTACCGTTTCAATATACAGCCTCTCCCAAGAGCATTGCACCAGGAGAAGACAGAATTGTGAAGGGGATTTTCACTGCTACTCTTCAGAAGTGACATACTTTATTTCTACTTACAACTCACTGGGCAAAATACATCACATGTGACAGAAGGGTAGCAGGGACTCCTCTCTACTCAGTTTCCTGTGCACACCTTTGTCACAGCACCTGTATTATAGGGTGGGAGCTATCTGTTTATGTGTCTTTCCTCCAAAAGCCTGTGTGTGTGTGTGTGTGTGTGTGTGTGTGTGTGTGTGTGTGTGTGTGTGTGTGTATCACTCTGTCACCCTGGCTGGAGTGCAGTAGCACACTCACGGCCACTGCAGCCTCGACCTGCTGGGCTTAGGTGATCCTTTCACCTCAGTCTTCCAAGTAGCTGGAACTACAGATGCACGCCACTACGTCTGGCTCATTTTTGGGATTTTTGTAGAAAAGAGGTCTCACCAAGTTGCCCAGGCTGGTCTTGAACCCGTGGGCTCAGGCAATCCTCTTGCCTCGGCCTCCCAAAGTGCTGGAATTACAGGCTGAGCCACTGTGCCCAGCCCTATGTGTTTTTTTTAAGTTTTTAATTTTTAAATTTTGAAGATGTGGGGTACAATTCAGGGCTAGGTATACAAATCTTCATTATGCAGCTACCCTTGTTGATGAGGTGTGCCCACCCTTGTGAAACTTATAAAGGCCCTGCTGCCACCATCATCTTTTACACAGGCTGGAGTACATTTGTGATGATTTCAGTGTGTGAGTGTGACGACACTAGCTGGCAGTGGGGAAAGAACCAACTGAAGCAATTAGTGAAAACAGTAGCCTGATTCACACAGGGCCAGGACTAATGTCTGTTTCCACCAAACAGACTGGAAACCTCATAGTTCGCGGGCATTGTGTAGAATATTCAGAAGAACTTGCCTCAGTAGTGAGAAAAACTAGCCCTAGAATAAATGCTGCTCTAGGGTCACCCATCACATCTTAGAAACGAGATAATCCAACTGTTTCTAAGTAACTCAGCTGTATCGCAGAATAAAGTTCAAGAATATTTAGAGGAATATAAAAACACCCAGCAGCATCCAATGAAGTAAAAATCACAATGTCTGAGTGCCAATAAAGAAATCACCTAGAATATAGATAAGAAAATATATGTCATAAAAAAGAGAAAAATTAATCAATTGAAGCAAAACCAGAATCAATACAGATATATAGAAATAAGAAGAAATGTGCATATGTTAAGTAGAGACATGGAAGACACAAAAAAGATCCAAAATGAGCTTTTATGGTTTTTTGTTTTTTTTTTTTTGAGTTGGAGTCTCACTGTCGCCCAGTCTGGAGTGCAGTGGCCGCTCCCGGCCACCGCAGCCTCGACCTGCTGGGCTCCGGCGATCCTTCAGCCTCAGCCTTCCAAGTAGCTGGAACTACAGGCGTGCGCTACCACGCCTGGCTAATTTTTTTTTTGATTTATGGTAGAGGTGAGGTCTCGCCAAGTTGCCCAGGCAGGTCTCGAACCCGCGGGCTCAGGCAATCCACTCACCTCGGCCACCCAAAGGCATGGGATTACAGGCTGAGCCACTGAGCCCAGACTAAAAGATATTTAAACTGCTTAAAAAATAATAACGTAGCCGGGCTCGGTGGCTCAGCCTGTAATCCCGTGCCTTTGGGAGGCCGAGGTGAGTGGA